AATTTATTCATACCTTGATTATTATTGAACTTGAATATTATTATAGTATTATTATAATATTGATAATTAAATGCGTATTATTATTTCCGAAGCTACAGCGATCTCTTTCTTTATGTTTCTAAATATCAACTTAAAAACTGTGCACAAATATATCGAAGTCTCAACTAACAGATACCGTGGCGCTTGAACAACTTAGCCGTGGTATTTAATACTCCCCTCCCTTTTCTTATGCACTCGCCGACTCCACCTGCCCCCCTTCTCCCCACCCCAACGAGTTGGTGTTGCCGAAAAAAAAGAAGTGTAGGAAATTAAAAGAATTTTTGTTAAAAGCGCTTCAAGTGGGTACTGCGATGTCGTTGTTGTTGGCGGCTCCTGGCTGCGCCATCCATCCACCTGTCCTGCCAGTGTGTGTGTGCTTGTGTGTGTGTCTCTTGACTCGAAACACCTCATATTCGCTGTGAGCGTGTGTGTGTGTGGGGGGGTGGGGCATTCCCCACTCAGCTGAACTCGGGTGCAGTGACATGACGACAGCTTCGCGCTTTTGGCTTTGACGTTTGCTGCTTGATTTTCAGCTGTAGCTTTTAATTTTTATTTTAATTTTAATTTTTTGTCCGTTTTTTATTTATGTGAATAATTTGTGGGCGACTCGCGAGAGTGTGTGGGTGGGTTCTTGGCGCGTATTCGTGTGCTCCTGTGTGTGTCTTTGTGTGCGTGTGTGTGGCAGCTTAATGTGTGAAGAGGCATGATGATTTGTAGGGTCTGTATGTGACAGGCGTTTTTGATTCGAGCTGCCTGTCGCGAAATTCTAAAGGATTTTCCATGGAAACCGATTTGCATGTGACCTTTGATAATCCAATAACTTGGCTTATCAATTTGCGGCAAAGCTTTATTTGGATTTTTCATCATTTCAGAGATGAGTTTTGCAAAGCAGAGCTGCCTGCTCTAAGTAGGTGTATATTTTTTCAATAAATTGTGATAGATGCCCAACGAACCTACTACCAGAAAAGACCCTTCTTGATCTCACAAGTTTTATTTACAGTGTAAGCAAGTGTATTAACTGCAGTGTGCTAGGCGCAGCAGTTCGCCTCCACTGCTGTATTTGCCAAAACCATTTTTTGTGATTTTATTTGGCTTTTAATTTTGTTGTGGCTTGTACTTGGCTTTTACACACTCCCCCTCGGATAGCCTGCCATTTGCCTTTGGGGCACTGCGATGCTGATGCCACACGGCGCTTTGGTGCTACCTGGCTTAGCATTTTAGCGATGCATAATTAATCTGCGAGCGAAGAGCGTGGAATGGGGTTGCTTCCCTCTCACTCTACGCGTATCACTCCCCTGCGCCACTTCAATAAAATATCTTTTATTTTATTTTTAGTGCAGCTTTTCACTGCTGAAAAAATGTTTTTCATGTATCTGATGATGCACCCACCCAACGCTTTTCTTTCCACATTGCAGCGCAGGGCGGGGAGGGCGGGGGCAATGTAAAAGCGCAAAAATGTGACGGGCACGCTTGAGTGCGGCGCTCGTACCCCGTGTTTTGTAGCCCTTAAACTTTCTTTCTTTTTGGGCCAGAAACCCCTGGCCATGTTGTGTATTGTTTGTCAAACAACTTGAGAGCCGAAAGCGGCAGCAACTTGGCCTGCACTCCCCTACCTGTGGCCTGTGTTTCGCTCTCTCAATGGGGGTAATGACTTATAGACTACCTCAGATATATCTTTTTTGTGCCGCCCATCAAGCTGGAGTTGAGTTGAACGCAGAACGTCTTGGTTAATCAGGGGTTAAGGGATTGGAGTAAGCCATGCATGAGCGGCACGGCCATTGTTGCGTGGCCTTTTTAATTGGCCAGCCGGATGACGGGTTAATGTTGCAGCAACTTCTTGCGCGCATTTAATTATGCTTGCCGGCAACAAAACAAAGGCGGCGAACGCATTACATTTTTAATTTGAGAGCGGAAGCGGAGCAAAAAAAGCGAGGAAAACTGCTTAATTTTCAGGAGTGTTTGCTTAGATTATTTCATTAAATTGACCAGAGCAGGACAAAGCTGGCTGGCCTTTGTGCAGGACAATGCCGACAGCGCGGACAAACAAAAATGGTGGCGGAAAAGCAAAAAAGTTTGGCCAGACTCCCAGGACTCCTGCCATAAACGACTCCTGCCAAGGACCTCTCGCCCAGCCGAAGGGGTGGAACGTGCACTTAATTAAAGATAAGAATTAACTGCTGATTAGTAGTTCTTCTTTACACTTGACACTGGCTGGCGCTAGTCCTTCTGATACTGCCACTACTCCAGCTCCAGCTCCTGGCCAAGTCAAACTCAAGGCACGTAGCATCCGCTTCTTCGTCTTGGCCATGTCTCGCTCTCTGCTGCCTAACGAGGTTTTATTTTTGTTTCTCGACGCCCGCCCAGCTCGAAAAAGTTTACTTTGGGTTTTCCAGGACCTAATGTAGCCAAATGATTTATGCACTTTGCGCAGACACAAATTGGGTGGGGTTTGCGCACATGCACTGGCCGCATTTGCGATAATTGATGCGGCTGTGTCTAGGCCTCCTTTTGATACCCTCGCCGCAAATACGTCGACATGCCAATGCATTGACATTTAGTAATCATGGTAAAAGATTCTGTCATGATACTAGCTAAGTTGCCTTGGCAAAATAGTTTTTCGAGCATTCCTAACATTTTCGGCAGTTCAAAAAGTGTATGAACAGCAGCGACTCTGACTCACCTGCAGCTCTTGTTATAATTTAATGCCTCTACGTGTTAATCACGGCAATTAATGTATGCCTCCGCTTTTGTCCACCATGCCACGACTGCCCCGCCCCCTCGATTGTCCTTCGAGCACATCCTTCAGTGCGGCCCAGAAACAGCTACAGATACAGATACAGAAACAGATACAGATACAGACGCAGACACAGAAACAGGCACGAAGCGAGCTGAAGATACAGATGCAGACCCATAAATATCTGGCACGTTCAACAACGCGAAGGGAAAAACTTTCGTTGGCACTTGGCTTAAATGGCTCATTTTCCAGTCATTAAATTTCGCTGGCCGCTCACCACTGACCAATTTCGTTGGCCATAAAATCATATCAAAATGTTGCTGGCTGGCAAATGTTCGGGCTACTGCAAAACTACAACATGTCCAAGTCAACTTGTTATTGACTCTGTCTCGATCCTGGGTAAGGCTTTGAAATATGTTGACAATGGCGCCAGCAACAAAAGCTAAATATAAATACCCAACCCGCCAAAAAAAAAAAAACCGCCCCCCATTTATGTTCTCAAATTTTCAACCCCGCAAGGCAATTGACTTTTCGATATGCTTCCCTTTTTGGAAGCATCAGCAAAAGTCCTCTAGTTTCTTTTCTATAGTTTTTCCCCACATTTCCCGGGGGCCAATTTTTTGCGGGGGGCTGGGGGAGTGCGACAAATCAAAGCGTTACAAAGCTGGAAAATGTGTGGAAAAGTTGCAGTGCAATTTATTATATGCTTTTGATTCTGCAAATCTGGCTGATGTTGTTTTTCCTCCTATTTTTTGTTTTTTTTTTTGCTCCACGTTGTCGCTAGCACTGCGGAAATGTTAAATATTTGTTATTGCAGTCTAATGTTTCCGGTTTTCCGAAAGACAACAGCCAGGGATTTTCGAGACCACGCTTGGTATGATCGAAGAGTTGCATACTTATTGTACAAACCTATATAGTAGGTACCATTCTTTTTTATCGCAAGAGGACAATGGAAGATCGGAGCACTTGAAGTAACTGATTTCTGCTATCAGCGGCACTTAAATGAAAAGCCCACTAATATGCCCTATGGAACGCTATTCAATTGACAACTTTTTTCTGGCAATGAAAACTATTAGCCCCAGTCATAAATCTTCAAGACCAAACGGAGGGATGTGTGGCATGGCAGGAAGGGGTAAGAGGGGGGTGGGCCCGACCAAAAGCCGGGTTCGACTAACCGCACAAGGCACCACAAGAACCGAGCTCCATTTGGCTGCACAGACGACAGTGGCAAAGTCTGGCCCAGACATGGCACAATTATGACCATTTCTGATGCATAACGCTGCATCCATAGAGCCTTTAATGCAATAAACCAGCGACTGCAGCGTCATTAACACTGACAGGCAAGGGGGAGGGGTGCGGGGTTCGGGGGCGAGTGGGAGTGTGGGGGGGTGGCAGATGCCAAGAAGCATTCCCGGCCTTTTGTCGCTCACTAATTGTCTGGCCTGGCCGAAATGTGCAGCGCATGCATGCAACGCAACGCAACGCAACGCAACGCTCCAATTCAGGTGTGTGTCAGTTGGCCGATGTTGCCACAAAACACTTTGCCGGCAATTGTCAGCTGGCTGTTGGGTACGCGTTGCAAACAGTGAGGGGCCAACACTTACTCCACAAGGTACAAAATTAACTTACTGCATAAAAAATTGAATGGCTGCCTAAGCTGCTTATTGCATAAGAAGTTGGGCCGCCAAATTCAAGCCAAATCTATGACTAAACTAGTGAGCTAAGTAGTTTAAGTGTGGCTTACATTTTAGTATATTTTTCTAAATGTACCCAGTGGAAGTAATGGGTACCAAGGCGGTACCTGCCACCACTGCCATTGAGTAGTTGTGCTAAGGCCGTTGCAGTTGCAAGTTGCTGGTTGTAGCCAAACTCACTTAGCAGCTGACAATGACAGTCGCCTGCTCCACCACGACTACCACCCCACTCAAGTTCACCTGCGTTAATAGCCGCCTGGCAGCCAAGTGTCTGGGAAAGGCTTGCCCAGTTGCCTAAACGACATTGTCACTTGCGGTTGGTTGGGCGCACCTCCTCCTGCTGCTGCCAGTTCGTCCTGCGCGTCCTTCTCGTCCCGATCGTCCTGTTTGCGGCTTCTGCAGTCGAGTTGCCATCGGCTCTTGGCAGGTGGAGCACCAGCGACAATGAGTCACGCTGCAGCCTGGTGAAGTGTTAAACATGCGCGCTTTTCGGCACAAATCAATTAGCGATTGAATTCGGCGGAACTCAAAGACGGCGCAAATGTCCGACGGCCAAATGGCAAATCAACTGAATGTGCAACAGCAGCAACAGCATCCGCTGCTGTCAGCCATCGCAGCGAATAATTATGCGTAAGCCATGGTCAAAGGCAGTGAGATGCCACATCAAATTGAATTGCACATGATTGAGGTGTAGCACAGCTAATTCTTGTAGAAATTGCATGGCGTTGCAAAGAGAAAGTTGAGTAATATAAATAACCAACTGGCTTAGCTACTGCTTACTTATTTAATCAAGATGCCATATTAAACAACATCGTAAGCAAAGTTTAAAGTTACGTTATAGGCTTAAAACCATTAGTAAAAATCAAGTTCAATAGCTAACTTCAAGCACTTAGTACTTTCTTCTATAGTATTCCACTTAATATTAATGTCATATTAAACAACATCGTAAGCAAAGTTTAAAGTTACGTTTAAGGCTTGAAAACATTAGTAAAAATCAATTCAATAGCAATCCCTTACTAAGTACTTACTTCTGTGGTATTCCACTTAATATTAACAAGCGATTAGGGAAGTCTTGCAGGAGCTTAATCAGCAGCAACAGGATTAAGTGCCTTAAAGATCAAGTGGCGGAGTGCAATCGCCATCGACTGCTGGCCCAAAAGACAGCCACTGCGGACGCGGACTGATACCTCAGGCACTTAGCCGGGCTAATGTGGGGCACAAACAGGAGCGGCGTCTCGGCCACACGAACCACATGCCCCACTCACCCACCTCCCACCCAGGCACCACTCAACTCTCTCGCCTTCTCTTGCAGTCAAACGCAGCGTGTGCATTACTATCCCAACCACTACAACCCGAGCCACTACTTGCCGGGCCATTACCACCAAGGACACCAAGGATACCCAGGATACCAGGGGCACCAGGCGCAGCAGGGACGACCGACGCTCCTGGCGGCCGCCAGCAGCCACAACGGTGCTTATGCGGCCACGGCGGCTGGCAGCGGCCACTCCGGCTACGGGTAAGCGAGGAGCCACCGCTGCACTGAGAGAAAGTGTGTGATGCTACGGGGAACACTCTGCCTGCATGCCACAAAAATGACACAACTATTATGGCCCAAAGGCAGCCATTTTAGGATTGAGTTTTCAAACTAATAATAAGATGGGAAAACCAAGGCAGCGAACTACGATTACCTATTTCTGCCAGTGCACAGTGAAGCCGAAATCCCAGTCCCAGTTGCGCGTCTAATGCCAGTTTGAATTTTGCAGCGGCATTGAGCCATCCGTGGAGTACGAGTTGGAGCCCGAGCCACCGTCGGGCAGCTTCTCCTCCTTTCATCCCAGCAGTGCGGGCAGTGGTCCCGCATATCCATCTGACCACCATCCACCGTCTGGGCCGCCGCCAGCGCCACCAGCGCCTCCGCCCAGCAAATCGTCAAAGAAGTCGAAGAAGAGCAGCGGTTCGGTGATGAACGCACTAACGCTGCTCTCGTTCTTCTTCTTTGTGAACATGCTGCAGAACTGCCTGAAGGATCATATGGCGGACATGAATCCCACCGTGATGGTGCTCACGGCCAGCGGCACTCGCAATCGCTTCAACAAATTAGCCGAGATGAATTCACGCGAACAGACCTCCACCACGGCCACCGAATCGGCGGCGGCAGCGGCAGTGGCAGCTGCATCATCTTGGAATCATCAGGCTGCTTTAGTTCCGGCCGTCGAGCCCAGTGTGCCGCCCTCCATTGTTGCGCCCACGGTGGTGCTGCAATCGCCCTACAGCGGTCACACGGAGCTGGCTAATAAGCCGCCCCACCAGTACCAGCCACCGGCACCGAATCCTCAGCAAAAACCCCACGATTATCGGCCCACCCACCACCTCGTCGCGGATGATGATGTTTATAATTACAACGGGCAGCGCAGACCTCCGCCCCAGACCTTCTCCACCTCCTTCTCCACCTCCAGCAATGATGGCGATTTCTATCCTAATCGCACACACATCGACCACTCGTCCCGGCCCGACTTTGAGTCGGACTCGGGCTCCGATTACTATCAGCATCACTACAACCCGTATGCCGGCGCAAACTCCCGCCGGCATCCTTGGTCTTATGGCAGGCGGCGTTACTCATCCGCACCGTGGTCTTCGGCTTCGTTGGGCGCTCAGTCGGGCGTGAGCTCTTACTTGGATAATGCCCAGCGCCGGCAAGGTGATGATGACGATGGTCATGGTTATGGCAATGGCTATGGCTATGGCTATGGCCACAGGGATAGGGATAGGGATAGGGATAGGGATGCGGATGCGGATGCAGATGGGTACTGGGATGAGGATGGTCAGCAGCGGCGACGCAGCGATGCTTTCTATACTCGCACACGCATTAATTGAATGCAAGAATTCCGCGCGCATTTCTATGTTGCATGGCGGGGATTTGCTGCATTAACCCATTGCACACAGAAATGGGGTGGCATAATGTGGTTGGGTAAAAGATTTGAATGGATTTTTAGTACAGCTCGAGCTGCGTTTATGGGTCTTTTGAACTACGCGCAGTTTGAAAACTCAATTTCTACATTTAACTTACTTGTATTGCTGATTTTCAGATGAAGTTATTGTTTAGGAAAATTCGTTCTTAATCAGAAAATGCTTGTTCAAATAAAAGTAACTCTTACAACTTTTAAGTCGAGATGTACAACCGAGGGTTAAAAATGCTTAGCTTACATGTATTTATAATTAAAAGCAAACAACGCGCATAAGAGCTGACAAAAAATGAATGGAAAAAGGCGGCGGGGCGACGTGGCAGTCAGACACCCGGCAAGTTGCAAGTTGCAATCGTAATGAAAATAAATGCTAATTTGTTGCACAACAAATTAAAAGTGCCCCCAGATTCTGCCCGGCGCTTGGCTAAGACCTTATTTTATTGCCTGCCACAGGCAACTAAGTTGCAATTTCCCACACTCACACCGCCGTTTGTCTAATACGAATCTGTTGCATGGTTACCTCCGCTAGCAGCTTACTTATTTAGTGGGATTTTGTTCTTGGCCCTCACAATCATCGCGGCCAATGAGCCGCAAAAGCAAACTCGTGTCTGTGAGATTGCGGTGTGGGGTTGCTTTAATTAACACATTTAGCGCAATTTAAAATGCATTTTGCCATTTGCCGCGCGTGCACTACAAACAATGCTATCAATTTCAACAACTTTGATTAAACGTCATTTGCAGTTTGCCGTTGCATGTGCTGGATGCCTCCGACTGATGCACTTTTTTCCACCATTTCTGGCCATGGGAAAGGGCTGAAGTTGAAGCTGGCAATTGGCATTGTCAGCGCTTTGGCTGCGTCGCTCCCCTTTTGCTTCATTTGCAATTAAATGCATGCAGCAGCAGCAGCAGATGCAGATGCAGTTGCAGTTGCAGTCGCTGTTGCTGTTGCAGTTGCATTTCGGCCTCCGCCTCAGTCGACACTCAAAAGCGTAATTTAAAATTCTCTTGGCTACCATTTTTCGAGGCCCTTTCTTCGCTTTGTGTCGGTGATATGGCTGGTTGGAGTGGAGGCTGCCAGTTTTCCACGCATCGCGACTGCCTGACTGACTGACTCACGGCACGGCACCCGGCGCACGGTGCGTATGAGTTATGCAGCGACTGCATGGAGCAGCCACCAGGAGCAGCACCACCCAGCCAAATGAAGTTAATATAAATTTTGCTTTACAACGACGCTGGGCGAACGTGTGCGGCTCTGGCCGTTTATATGTATGCATATAGCGACTCCTGGGCCCATACATTTAAATAAATTTATGACTTTAAGTGCAAAGTGGCAGCTAATGCGTGATTTTTTGGAGCCAGCACGAGCACGTAACTGGCGTAATGGATCTGTAGTAGCTCCAGAAATGGCTGCCAACTAGGAGATCGAATCAGTTCATGATGATCAGGGGTTTATGGATGTATCTTTTAGCTATTGATAGCACTCACAGGAATGTATGTAGTATGATCAAAGACAATAGAATAATAAGATGCGTAACTGCCATAATGTGATAAGTGGAAGATCTTGAAATATGAGTAGTGTATGTACCGGTGTATGTATGTACGTATGTATGTAGGTATGTATGTATGTATGTATGTATGTATATATGTATGTATGCATGTGTTACTTGCACAAAGTAGTACAAATTGTCTTAATTAAAGCCTGAAGAATGTTTAACTTACTGTCGGAACACATGGTTATTGCCGCTTTTAATATTTGTTTAGGAAACATATCGTCTTGTAGCCCTACAATTCCCAACTGGTTCTAGCGCAGACTGTAAGGCATGTCCTCTAATTTAGAGTCGCAAAGTAGTTCAAGTAACCGCTCGAGCAGTGAGTGTAGTGTATGTGTAGTGTATGTACCGGTGTATGTATGTATGTATGCATGTATGTATGTATGCATGTATGTATGTATGTACGTATGTATGTATGCATGTATGTATGTATGAATGTATGTATGTATGTATGTATGTATGTAAATATGTATGTATGTACATATGTATGTATGTAAGTATGTATGTATGTATGTAAGTATGTATGTATATATGTATGTACATATGTATGTATGTATGTATGTATATGTATGTATGTATATATGTATGTATATATTTATGTGTGTATGTATGTAAGTATACGCATCTTATTATTCTAGTGGTCTTTGGTATGATACTGTTATAGTATGATTACTTTGATGGTGCACTTCCCAAAAATTTTCCAAAAGTAGTAAGGCTGAGCACTAATGAAATGAAATTATTAAGCAGAACATGGCAGTACTTAGTGAAATCTCTAAGATCCCTGATAAGCAGTCAATCCACATGAAACCCACTCTAGCCAGACCTTCATGATTTTATTACTGCAGCAACTACCCAGCGGAGATCATAAAAGCGAAAACTCTCATTACCCAGCGGAGGTCCAGAGGATGATGAAAGCGATTTCGGATGGTTACTGGCTTCTGGCCGCCTGCACATGACACATTATCCACAATTAAACATGCAATAAATTTACTTTAAACACGCATAAATTTATAATGTAAGGGACAAGGGTTTTTTTCTCCCCCACACCGTTCATACTCTTTTTTGTCAATATTTTTTTGCCGTTTGTAGTTCATTAAAAAATAATTAAAAATTGTAATCGACGCAATTTTGTGCCTGCCTTTGCGCAATAATTTATGCTCACAATAAGCACAAAATGAAAGGGCATTAATTTGCACTCGTGTCAACTATAAGTGTGCGGTAGATAAATTAAAAGTAAACAAGTGAATAAATTTTGTAAAAATTATTAAAGTTCCCCACGAGCACAAGAAAGCCGTTCCCAGCGGGATATTTAAGATTTTCCTGCCTTACGCATGAGCCAAAGTTGCTGGAATCCTTTGGCAGAGCTGTCTGGGCAGAAAAAAAATTGGGAAAGTGGGGGAAAGATCTCAGTGGTATTTTGCTACAGTTTTATATGGCAAACAATTACGGTAAGTAATTTATTTCTGCTCAACTGAATTAGAAATCTCTTAGCACTAAGCCAGTTTCCTGAGGGCTGTGCTCCGCCGTATTTTCCCAGACTGGCTTGTGTGCGTGTCTGTTTATGAAGATACAATAAGATATGCAAAGAAAATTAATAGTACTACATTTTTTACAACACTTTTGTCTCGACTGCTGGCGCAGCTAGTGCGATAATTCATTGCCCGCCTGACTCCTTGTCCGTCCTTGTCTATCTGTGCCTCACTCTACCTCTCTCTCTCCCCCTGCGCGCCACGCACTTCCTGCCAAATAACTCCCCCTTTTCTCGCTGTTTCACTGAAACTTCAGATGTATATGTATGCATAACATTCACTACGTTTCTATTTAATATAGTAGGTATCTATTCATGTATAGCATGATTAACTTTGAAATGAACTCATATCTTGCTAAAATTTATCTGCTGATTAGAAGACATTAGAAGTAGGAGTTGTTTTTTCCAGTGCACCGCCCCCACTGCCCCATCGCCCATCACTGCCGTTACTTTCGTGCTATAATCGGCTTAGTCTGCGCTTACGGTTTGCTTTTTGCATTGCCAGCGCACTTGTGTGTGTGAATTGTATGGGTGTATATGTATGTACGACTAGTTGGCACTCTGAGTCCTGCGAAGGTGGCTCCCTTTTATGCTCGCCCTGTCTGTTTTGCGCCAAAGGTGTTAAGTTGTTATTTTATTGCATTTTATTTCATTTAGCCCGGCTCACGCTCACACAGCCTTTCCTTGCGCTCGCTTCACGCAGCTCGAAAGGAGTATTATGACTTTATTGTTCAATTGGCAAGCAGTTCTCTGCCGAAAGTGGAGATTTCTTGCCGTGTTCTAGCTGGTTCGCAGATGGCGGCAAGCTGGAATACTTTGTGCAGCCGTTTACCTTTTCATTTTCAATAAAATCAATTTGCCTAGCTCAAGCTGAAGCCCAAAATCGACGGCAGTTTTAATTTGAAAGGCTTACCTCTTTGATTGGATTTATTTAACTATTAAACGAAACAAGCCTTGATTGCTGTGCTGAATAAATTTGTTTCAAGGGCTTAGGGGCACAACAGTTTTGTAATCTTTCAGACTGAACTTGTCTTTCAGTTACTTATTTTTTGAGCTTACGTAAAACGCTCCAAAATTAGTAAATCATTTGGCAGCACCAAAATCAAGTACGCTAGCCGTGCAGTTGAGCCATTTTCTGGCCTAAACTATTAAAGGGAAACACTCGAGGGCAACCGCAATTGTCACGTGCCTGGACTTGGCTTTTCTTGGCATGCTTCATTTATCACACACACAGTAAAATGTGTCAACGTTGCATGCAGCGGTTGCAGTTGCCGCTTGAAGAGCCATAACTCATAGACAACACTCGCCCCCTCTCTGTTCCACCAGCCAGCCATCCATCTCTCTCGCACTCGAGTTGGTCACATAAATGTCACTGCATGTGGCACAATTGTGTCGCAATTGTTGTGGCGAATAAACACGTCATAAACCGTTGGCTATCTTCAATGCCTCGTTGAAGGGCCTCAAATGCACAGCAACAAAAATATAGAGTTGGCCAAAAATTAAGATGGTTACGTATGTTATTTCTAGGGAAGAGAAACTTTAAAAGGATATATTTTATGAATAACAAAAATTGCAGAAATCAATTCGAAGTTTCTGAGCTGGTCAGCCGACATCCGCTAAGGAAAGCCAAAGAGGGAGCAAATAAAAAGTATGGCACTCTCTGCACTTCCAATTCAATTACACTGCACAAAAAGCAGCAATATAAATACTACGGTGGCACACATGCAGAGATAAAATATCTATTAATGCCCATAGATTGCTCCGGTTTTAAGCTAGCTACAAATTCAATGTGTGCACACAATTCAGTGCCAAATGGGATTTTGGTCGAACGGCAGCGAGTGTAAGCCATGGCCAAAACGAAAGGAGCAACAGAATCGACTAAACTTTATGTGCATGTTAAGAAAAGTGCTGCAGGAGCGACACAGACGTGGACCAAAGGCACACGGAAGTGAAAACGTTTCACACTCCAATTGCTGGTACATATCTCGCCTTCTCCCTCTACCCCCCTCTCCCTCTCTCCTTCTCTCACACACACACACTCTTTCTATCAGGACTTTCCCTGGGCGGCTGCTAGTTTTTTCCGCACTTTCCATCGTTTTGGCAAAGTTTACGCTGGGACAGCAGGCACATAAAATAGTTTTAAATAAGAAAAGGCGAAAGCAAATAAACAATTCCATTTCTCTGCCACAGCGGTGGGCTAAGGGGGGCGCAGGACGGGAGGCGTGTCGGGAACACACACAATGAATGTAAAGCCTTGGCGCATGAAACTGAAAATATTTCGTAGCATACTTTGCAGCGCCTGCACTGGCACACTAACACACACAGAGTGCACGGCCCACATGTGTGTGTGTGTGTGTGTGTGTGTTACGACTTCCGTTTTAGTGGCCGTGTGAACTATTTACACGCACACGCAGGAAGCGAGTAACTGGTGAAATATTTAAAGTTAACTATTAAATGCTTTTAGGCATAATTCAGGCCTAAGCTGTGAATTACAGTTTTATTATTGAACAAATAAAGCAGTGCAGTGCTTTCAGTGTTTCAGGCTCGATTTTGTAGAATAGCAACTAAATGTAGAAGGGAAAAAGGGCTGGATGCCTGGCGGCTTGATTTAAATTTAAATACGCCTGTTTGTAATTAAATTGACTTTTACCAATGCATTCATTTTCGCCGTTGTTGTGCCACTTTTGTTGCTCATTCGGCTGTGGGTGTGGCAGAGGCCAAAAATTATGCAACTGCAGCCGCGGCGTTGCAACAGCTGTTGACACATGCCGCCAGCGGCCATTGTTGTATGGCCAACACCACTGCTGACAATGGCTGACAACGCAATGGCTGGCCCATGCCACACCCACACTTATCCCAATCCCAATCCCAATTCGAATTGCCGAGTTCCAGCATTTTTGACCGTGTTAATGGCGGCGCCACAACAGCGCATAAATGCCATTGAGATTTGGCTTCATGCAATTTTAACGCTTCGGTGCATACGCACACGCACTCACACACAGACAGATGCGCAGAAGGAGAAAGTGGGAAAGGGAAATGGAAATGGAAACACAGCACACATTTTGCCCAATTTATGACTTTGTTTTAATATAATGTCAAATGCTATTTGACCAGTGTCCATTTCAATTTCGATTTCATTTTATGAATCATTTTGAAACCCAGCGCGAAATATGAAATATGAAAAATTGAGAACATTTTTGCAAATATTGGATCTGTTTTATTTTTGTATTTTCCCATATTCGGCCGCAAAATGGTTCATTATAACGCCCGTCTGCCATTTCTGTTGCTGAATTCTGTGGTTGCCTAAACCTGCCTCCAAACGGGCAAATGAAAACAAATAAAAGCACAAGCGCCTTGCCATCTAAACCTTGAAATTACCATTTATAAAATATTTATGTATTTTTTTATAGGTTTTATTCAGTCTTTAAAACCTATATAAAATTAGGCTTTGCTGCGGTTCCAAAATATCTTGCTCACTTACTTAAATTCGTAAAAGTGCATAATGCAGGTATCAGGAATATACAAAATGCTCCTCTATAACTGCGTGTTTAGGGTATTTAAATCTGATACACGAACCAAATTGGAACGCTGGCGACAGGCTGCCATTTGCATTTTGTCCAGTAAATTTCAGGCCGTAGTATAGATGCCCGGCATCTAGGCATAAATTCTATTATAAATAACATTTAGAGTGAACCGACGGCCAAATGCTGGGGTTTTGCATTTGTCAGCGCTGGAAATTGGACCGAGCACATACATATACAAAAGTGTATATGTATATGCGCATATGGATATCCGACAGAGGAAAATACAAATTGCGGTTTCTAAATTGAACGGCGAGTGTTTTTCGATGGTGTGTTCGAGTGTGCGAGTGTGCGTCTGAGTGTCGCTGTGCACGACGCATAATCAGATTTGTTTATTCAATTTTTCATGAAATTTTCTTCAGCTTTTTTCTTTTTTGCTGCGGTTTCGAGGCCGTCCAACTGATTGAGTGGCAATGGCATCGTGCTCTTGTTACATTAATGCTGTTAAAGATTAAAGGGGATTTCGTGGGTTTCCTCCAGCTGGCTTCGTTTTTAAAACAGATATCTGCCTCAAATGCGATGTGTGCTCTTTAATGGGATTTAAAGCAGCCAATTGGCGAAGCTAGCGCACAATTAGTGGTAACTGAGTGGCAAATGTCATAAACATTCCATTGAATCGTACTTCGCTCAATCGGCATAATGAAAACAGCGTGCCGTGCTTCAATTAACATTCTCCCATGCCCGGCAATTATCAGTCCTAATTAACGTTTCATAAACTGTAACAGGGCGGATTATCGGCATTACGTATACGACGTGTGTGTCGGCCAAAAGGGAAATTAATCAAATTAGCTTCGTTAAGCCAAAGCAGCGAGCGACTTGCGATGCCCACCAGCAATTGCTAAATGTAAACAATCATATGTGAGATAAATAGCAAATGAATGTGAGATAAAAAACAAAACAAAAACAAAAAAGTAGCTGGCATCAGCGACCGCAACAAAAACAATTAAGCAAAATTGTCATAATTACAGTAGCACAAATACAGGCAAACAATTGCCACAAATTGTGACAATTTGCCGCCTGATTAATGAGTGTCTGTGGTTCTCCGCCAGACAAAACCAGCGGAATGACAGTTGGGCAGATGCGAGATTATTTGCGGTAATATTTTATGGCCATCATTTGAAAATGAAATTCGCGGACAATCGCAACGATTGCCGTCTGAGTGTGATTAGCTTTTCCAAATATATGAATACGGAATTGGAAGATAATGAGGGTTTTACCAAATGTCTTTGCTAACGGAACTTTTAGAACGAAACGGTTTCAGAAAAATATTTGTTCTATTTTTTAGGACTGAAAATGCTTTAATTTAATTAAAAAGTTCCAACGCATAACTAAATGAAAGGTCCGCGTTGAATCAATATTCCTACATTACAGATAGTCGACCTCTTGGCTTAATGAAATTCCTTAAACGTCATCTATGATCGTGTCATTCAAAATTGACAGTTGCTATCTGATATACGGAAATGGAAATTGCAGTAGCAAAAGTGAGAGTTAAATTTAATTCAGTTTGACTTAAAATACGAAATGGCGCTACCGAAGCAATTAAAATTCCTTAATGTACTTCTGGTACTCCTTTTAGTCTACAAACAATCTGGTGAAGCTGAAAACCCACATGAGGCATTTCTAGACACTCTGCTCCAAGCAGTTTACAATGAGCGTTCAGTGGAAACGTTGTTTTTGCTACATCATAACAAGGAAGCAAATTGTTCGCTACCGAACTGGAATCCTCCAAGAATTCCAACTCTACGTTCAAATGAACTGACTGCATTTAGTTTGGAAAGGAACTTCAACCACAACGCATTGGCATTGGTTTGCTTGACAAAAAACTCCTTTAGAGAACTCTTGAATACACTGGCGAAAACATTTGATTGCATGCGACAGGAGCGCATAATTTTAATGATTCATCGGAAGCCAGATACAAGTTTTATTGAGGAAATCGCCCACGAACTGAGGGATCTACAATTTCTGCATTTGATAGTGCTGATTATGCAGGAAAAATCGAACGGAAAAGTGTCGGCATCTACCCTTCGTTTGAAACCATTTCCGGAAACGCATTTTGAAAGGATTCGCAATATATTTGCGATCAAAACCATTTTTCACCACTCCATAAATTTTCATGGAAGGGTATTAAATGCTGTACCAAGCGACGTTAGAATATTATTTGCAGCTTTAACCGAATTGTTCGTAGAATTCGCACGGAGACACAACTCAACCCTTCAAATTCAAAACTCAACCATGAAGGCAGAGATCCAAATTAGCGAAGATAACTATGACATCGATATGAAAACACAGCCTCACAATAGTAAAACCTTTTCGCATCACAACAATATTGCGATGGACATGAATACAAATTCCCTGATAATTGTGGTGCCATGTGGCACGGAGTTAAGGGGCCTGGATATTCTCAAGGAGCTGGGAGTGCGAACTTTGAGCTGGTTGGCCCTGATCTTCTACATCATCTTTGTTCTGGCGGAGATGACCTTTGTGTTTATATCCAATCGCTTTAGTCGCAGAAATTTCCGCATGAGATACACAAACCCGTTGGTGAATCTTCGAGCATTTAGAGCCATTTTGGGCCAGACTTTTCCCATCTCCAATCGATCCAGCCTATCAATTCAACATTTTTTCGTTTTTATGAGTCTTTTTGGGACGCTCTTTGTTGGGTTCTTCGACTGCAAGCTCAGATCCTTTCTGACCAGAAAACCCTATTACTCGCAAATAGAGAACTTTTCTGAGTTGCGGCAAAGTGGGTTGACTGCCGTGGTGGATCCTCCTACTCGACAATTTATTGAGCAGGAAATCAATGCCGACTTTTTTAGAGTTGAAGTGCCCAATGTAAGGACTATCACTTCACGGGAATTAATGAATCTTATTTACTCATTTGACAAGAAATGGGCCTTTGTGTCCCATTCAATTCCATGGCGTGCTTTTAAAGAAGAAATGAAATCCTTGGATCTAAAAATCCTTTGTGAGAGCAAGAATTTGACCATCCTTGAGAATGTGCCCCTTACTTTCTCCCTACGCAGGAACTCGATATTTAGCCAGCACCTCCGCCATTTCATTATCAATTCTGCTGATACGGGTATGAGCACTTACTGGTTTAAAATAGCTGGCAAAAATATAAGAAAACATATGAAGACATCTCTGCGTAGATTTGAGGAGCGGCCTTCTCATCTTCCACTGTCTTTTGAGCATTTCAAATGGCTGTGGGCTTCACTTTGCATTGCCTACGTCATATCATTCATGGTTTTTATAATGGAAATACTTTGGGCCAAGTACCAAGCCAAAGCGTATACATTGTCTAAAGTTTGATATATTAAAAAACTTACGATTTGTACTTGCAATCACTGAAAATATGTAGTTACTACAAGTCACCAAAACTATTCTATTAATATCAACATATCAGCATGTCAACATAATATCACCATGGAAAAAAAATATGGATGGCTTATTATCACAAAGTATGTTGCTTTTATGAATATCAAAACAGATACGTACTTAATAAAAACAAACTTAAACCCGTTTAATGGCTTTTATTCTATTCATGAAAAAATTACAAAAAAATTACAAAAAAATAAGTTTTTGAATTTGAATGCAGATTTTTAGAGAATTGCTCCAGAAAGATTTAGAGGTATGCCACTTTAAAATCCGATTAAGATAAGTTGAGTTATGGAGTTTAGAACTTCAACCTTGGGACATATTTTAATTTTTTGAATTTCTACATCATAGCATGAAAAAGTGACAAAAAAATTAAAAAAAAATAATTTTTTAAATTTGAATCCAATTTTTTAGAGAATTGCACCAGAATTATTTAGAGGTATGCCACTTTAAAATCCGATTAAGATAAGTTGAGTTATGGAGTTTAGAACTTCAACCTTGGGACATGTTTTAATTTTTTGAATTTCTACATCATAGCATGAAAAAATGATAAAAAAATTAAAATAAAATAAATTTCTAAGTTTGAATGCAGATTTTAGAATGCGGGTATAATGAAGTAGCTTTGTAGCGTTTTTTCACCTCTTGCAAATTAAGACTGAACTTTAAACTAGAAACTACTTTGCCCACTTTAGTCGTATTCAACTATTGTATCTTAATGGACAGCTGTCAGTTTTAATCTGGATTAAAGTAATGGCTTTTCGGGGTTGATTAAGTGGCATTGAATGCTTAAGATATGATTTCCCCTGTATGGAAATGTTATATATTTATAAACTTTATATGTACACCTTTGAAAATGGTGGAAAATAATTTAACACCGTTTTGAAACAAAGTTTTTTTGATAAGCTTATTATCTTGTTTTAATTAAATATTTAGTTTGAATTAAACATGTGCTTGAATTTTATGTGCTTGCGTTTGTAAAGAAATTTTTGTTTTAAATCCATTTTTAAGCAATATAGCTTGGTCTTTCGCTCAAGTTGCTTGTGGATCGGTTCCTTTTCCTGAGAAGTATCTCAACAACAAATACCAATGTGGCGATACTTTCACCGATGACCAGCAGATGCCATATCCAGCTCAAATGGTGAATGGACAGAGGAACTGTGCCTGCAATCTTGGGAGGAAAGGTAACATTATATAATAGTTTGACGATATTGGGAAGTACTCCATTCCAAGCGTCCGGAATCCCGGTTTGCGGAATGTAGTTGATAAACCTGGTTAGCATCCATTTCAGGGCAGAATTGTTCTCCAGCACATACATCCGTGGCAGATTCCAGGCAATGCTCAAACTCTCAGACTCGCAAAAAACCCTTTCATCCAGAGATCGTTGAAGGGTATTTAACAATTTCCATGTGGGTGTGTACATTATATAGCTGTAGCTGTCGTTGAAACTCATCAGCATCCTAAGAGTTTCTTTCTTTTTGGCAATTAAGTAGTGGGGTAGCACTCGATTGAAGAATTCTGTGTCGATATGCGTCTTGATGAAGTAGTGTGTATACTCGTCCGTAATAGTTATCAATCCGCTATCTCTCAACTCTTCGAAGTTTCTCACCTGGGGATTTTGAGCTGGTTTCATGAGCAGCGCACTTAGTTTGCAGCTTACAAAATTGCTGAAGACAAGGCCAAAAACGCTTATGACCAGAAAGAGTTGGCGAAGTGAAACGCTCGATCTGCGAAACTCCGGAAATGGTAGGCCTAAGATGCCTCGAAAGGCACGAGGATTTAGTAGTGGACTTAAGCTGGTCAGGCGGCTGCCTCGATCGGATATCCTGTGGGTCAGCCACAGTATTAGGGTTTCAATTAAAACGAATAAGACATAGGCAATCAAAAGGCAACATATCAATTTCAGCACACCCAATTTGTGAAGTACATCCATCAGACGCCATTTCTGGCTGCACGGCACTATGACAATCAAGGAGCAGGCGGTGTTGGGACTTACAAAGGCCATTTGGGTGGGAAAGTCTTGGGTTATGAAACGTGGACCCAGCTGTATATCGAAATGGTCTGACTTGGTGTCATTTTGTTCATATAATTTCAAACTCAAATTGTACTTGATGGCGAACTGCACAATTTCATAATCCTTCAGTTCGGATAGGGGAATAAAACCTGATGGCGACCGTACATTAAAGCGAATGTTCGAATTCACGCTTTCCCTCAAAATGGCCGTTCTACCTTGAAAACTTAAGCCTCTTTCGAATAAATTGGCCTCGTTTATGTCCGCTATATTCTTCAATTGGCAAAACTGTGCAGTGGGATATGGATTCATTCGGAGCAGTGCTGGTACTGCGCTGGCACTATCGTTCATTGCCACAATTGTCAGCTGAACAAAATGATACCTATTGGCTTGCTGGGAGATGTAGTCCAGCAGGATCTTCGTGGGTTCGCTTTGGCTCCATAGTATGATTCTCTCCTGCCTCATGTTGTCCATGGCGTTGGCCAGGCTGTGAAGCAGCCCATAGTCCGAATCGTTGCCAATGCAAACTAATGACACCGCCTGGTCATTGGAGTATCCACTTATCCTGATGGAGCCCATTTCATCGGCCCTCAGTATAAGACTGGCACGTGGATTCCATTGCTCCAGATGACAGTTTCTATCCTGACTATGCTTGATTAGCATTATTGTACGAATTTCCTGAACCTGCTCAAACACATCGATGAGCTCCCTAAGGAATTTCAGCTGCGGACTCTCCATTCCTGTGGCCAGTGATAGATGTATCATTGGTAGATGTACCAGCCATATTAGAAATTTTGACATTTTTAGTCGCAGCTTGGTTTTAGCAGCTCTAGAAGGTTGGAACTGAACTGAATACCCAGGAAATACCTTACAAGTGCTCCTTACTTAAGAAATCGTAAGATAGCCCGCGACGACAGCTGTCAAATGTTGTGCAAACCCATTTTAGTAATTAAGTAAACTACAATTTAAAAGTTTGGAAACTACGTACTCCTAAGAAAAAGTAGTATAAAGTATAATATTTAAGTACTATTAGATGTATCTAAAAATTGTGTGGCGAGCGATGATTTGGGCTCATTTCGATTATTTTATGCACACATAGAATAGATCATCCTCTAAAGGCATCGAAATAGCTTTCTGTTGTCTAAAGCAATAATCAAACTCAAATGAAGAAAACAGTGAAATCGGTTAGCTTTAATTTTCCGGCATCTACATCAAGCTATTATTGCCCCTAAGCAGCTGCTGATCCGGAAAATATTTGCCTTGCCTCTGGGAATGTTATTCCACATTTATGGGTCAACTGATGCTGCCATTCCCGCCCCATTTGTTTGTGCAACAATTGAGATACAAAACGATTCGGTTAACCGATTCCATTTGGCTGATGCCAAACTGATCGACGTCGAGTGGCCCGGCATCTAAAATCTATCGATAGCGTCGGCCGAGCGACAATTTTCCTCGGCGGCAGCAGCACTTTTCCTCGCCGAAAAAGATCAGATACTTTTGCAGTCGTGTACCGTTTGCTGAATCGTTTGGAACGCGAGCGCCGTGAGCCGCACGGCATTGTGAAAAGTGAAAAATGGATTTTCCGCCCTGGGCAGTCGATGCGCTTGGGACGCCCGAGCATGTGCCGTTGCCTGTCAGCGTTTAACAAGTGTTTTCCCCCAGTTTTCCCCTAGTTTTCCCGCCCAACACAATCCCATCTTCAAACAACTCGTGGGCGTGCGCCAAGCGGAAATGAGAAAATTTAATTTTAACAATTATTAATTGTCATTCGGTGTCAAATCAAATTGTGCCTGTGTGTGTTCGTGCTAATTGCGTAAATAATCTCCTAAAGTAATTACTTCACATGACTCAAGTAAGCTGAATCTTACACAAGTACAGTCGAATGAAGTCACTTCAAGTAAGTTTTTCCTAAGTGAGCTTCTGTAAACTGCAAGCAAAAACAAATCACAATAATATCTAAGTAATACACTCTATTTTGCAGAATATCTAGCAACATAACTTAACCGCCATACATATTAGAAAAAAACTTAAACTAAATAAATAGCTAGCAGATACGTAACTGCAGATACGCCTTACATATTTGTTATTGTTTGGGCTTCTGCTAAGATACACTCGATTAACTCGCTCAACACCTCAAGGCGTTCCTGTCGCAATCAATTTTTGTCGCCTTTCGCCGGCATTAATAGTTTCACTAATTTTGAAATTTATTAGATCCCCTCACCGCGCCTTACATATCTGTTTTATGTGCGGTAAACAGTTTTTATCACCTCCACGGCCAGTGGAACGGAAAAGTTCGTGCAGTTTTGGAAAATCATCGGCGGCTAAGCAGACAGACAGGCGGAAAATCCGAAAGGCTAGTGAAAATATCAAACCGTCCCAGGGCGATGGCAAATCTCCCTGGCCGGAATCTTTTGGATCCGCTGCCTGATCTGGCATCAGTCAATGTCAGTTGGCCCAGTGCCAGGTCGACCGTGTGGGCGGCGACAAACAAACAATCGGTCCGCTAAGGAAATGTAAATAAATGTGGAGTGTGGGGAAAGTGCTCGAAGTTGCTGCACCTTGTGGCAGAGTATCCATCTAAGATATGAATCCAGCCACATATGACACGGAGAGTACTTCACATCCCAAGTCTTCTTGCGGCCAAGATGCGTGTCATGCTCGACTACAAAAATCATTTTCAAGTGGATTTTGTATCCAGAGTTCTGGCACTGCACAGTGCGTTTCATACAGCAGTTAGCATTAGATGAAATTGAGCGAAAAACGGATTAACTATATCATGGAAAAATATACTGCACATGTTTAATACCTATCAACCTTACAGTAGTTGCTTTACATAAGATCATTCTCAGCTGTGATAATTATCCACATGCTTATGGCACTGAAACGCACTGTACCAATCTAAGCTGTTAATATGTACTGCCATATTTTTCTCGATTGCTAACACATGTTCAAACGACGACAAAGCATGCCAAATATTTATGGCATGTTTTTTGTTAGTGGCATTTTTTGTGTCATATTACTTTAATTTCTATTAATTTTTACCGCCTCCACCGCGACGTACGCTCGCCAGAAATATAAATATTTTAACACATTTTTTATCACGAATTCTTTAATGGAATTTATTGACTGAGTTTTTGGGCCCACAGGTTGGGACATTGGCATTGGCCAAGTGCAAAATTTATTATACATTTATCATTTAGGTATCATTTTGTGTGCTTTTTATTTTTGCGCTTCTGTTTTGCTTCACAATGAAAATGTTTATAAATATGTTTTTTTGTATTTTGGTTTGGATTTCTGAACTTGTGCAATAATTGGCAAGAAATAAAATGTAAATTCAACAGTGATTTAAAGTCCGTGCCATCTGGTTGAAGGCTGTAAACTTGAACGACTTACGAAGTGGGTCAGTGTTTCTTCTAACAAAAAATAGTGGAAATAATTATGTTTATTGTTTTTTTCTTTCATATGGGAATTTCCATTTCGTACCTATTATACTCGACTGCATCATTTCCGTTTCTGAATTTCGTGCCAAAAGTAAGAGCGTCATGCACTTGAACAGACCAGAATTTTTGATATCCCTCTGCCAGCACCTTTTCTCAATTCTCAAAATGTTGATCACTTGGAGGCGTTTGGTTTTTATCTATATACATTTTGAAAAAAAAATCGGAAATATGTGCAAATTGCGCAGCTGTCTTTTAATGCAAATTTTTCTACGAAACATTAATTCCACTGTCGGCTTTCCTGGAATAATTCTCATTCGTTTTTTATTGAAAATCTTACTAAGCGTGATTTACTTATGTTATTTCGATTATCTTGGCCAACTTTAAACTCTTAATGAATTTCGAGCCATATTTCATGCGATAAAGAGATATAAATATTTAAATACTCATTAAAAGTCAAAGGAAAATGTATTAATTTGTATATCTTAGCTGGATCATCTATAAATCTTCCTAAACATCAATTACAGTGATCTGGCGCCTGATTTTCATTTCCATTTCCATTTGAAAGTGACGTCAATGAGGAGCCCTACGAGAGCCATTTTCCGCATAGATATTTATAGTTTTATCCGCCGATTTCGCTGCCTTGGAAAAACTGCGGGTCTGTGTCTTATTTTATTGCTGCCTATAATTGGTTCGTTTATGTGCGGAATGGAAGAGAGGATCCTGAACTTGAAATGGAGGCTGGGAAAATGAGAAGGGGGCTTCTGGCGACGGAGGAAGTTGCACCAGGATTATGATGTTGTGCTCGGTGCATCGAAACTGGTCTATTTTTGGCTTGCTCACTGCAATTTGAACTTTGCATTCAGCGGAAAGTCTAATGACTCAAGTGTAGCTCTTTAAAGGGCACTGGAAAAAATAAAAAATGCTAAAGAAACTCATTTAGGGGTTGACGACATCTGTGGTTTGCTTGGCATACTTTTAGGAGTTTACTTAAAAGTACAAATTTATCTGTGTTTAAATTAACATTTTCACTTAATATAGAGATGATTACTATTAAGACATGGTATGAATAATTTCACTTTTCCATTGTGTTTACTAGAATACAATTAGCAAATTGTTGTTACTCATCGAATGACACATAATGACGCATAGCTTGGCCCACAAAAGTATCTATAGGGTATATGGGCTGCCACTTTCTATCCCTCAATTAATATGCATAAGCAATTATCGAGTTTACCATATGCGGTACCATATACTTGGTTTTGAGTGCCTATGCGAGCGTGTGTTCTTCTGTGAAATAATTAAAACAAATTATGCCATGTGCCTGCATATCACTGGAAAAATAGCATGATTCTACTACTTTAATATAAAAAATGATGTTGACTATTGAGTTAAGTATATTGGTTCTTATGTCGATGTGATCCTTTAAAACGATTCAATTTATGCGACGATTCTTATGCTTAATATAACTAACACTTTACATGTTTTGGCTCTTCTTAAAAAGTTCTATTGCTGTTTTTTCTCGAAGTGCACTAGTACTCACACACGCCGCAATGTTGTTACTCATATTTGTCCAGCATTATTGTCATCATCATGATAATCCTAATAATCATGATGGCGATCATTGTGGCTGTGGAAGTCGCATCGCTTGGAGCGCCGACTGAGCAACAGTCGCAGTTTATCCGCCGACCAAGTCGAGTCAGTGAATCCGCCAAATCATATGTGTACATGTACACAAATATACATATGTGCGTGCGGGTAAACTAATTGACAACAATTAAACCCCCCAACCACTAGCCGCCGAAACTAATATAAAATTGTGAAAATATTTTCAACAGGTTGAAAGCATTTAAAATACAAATGAACTCGAAATAATTGCAACAAAGCAGCAACGATTTGTTTATTAAACGAAAAGCGCACACAAACGAGCAAAAGCCCAAAAACGAAGGAGAATAAATGGATATAAAAATAAATTAAAAGAAAATCGCAGCGGCAGAGGGAAATCACTAAGAGAAAGAGCGAAACATGTTCAATTTGCTGCGAAGATCGCGTCGTGGAAAAGCGCACAAGAACGTCGACGCCGAAGATGGAGATACACCCTTGAGATACAGTCAAATTGGGCAGATATCTGCCGTTCAAAGAGCTCAAGAGCCGCCGGCAAGAGCACGACGGGCGGTGATCGAAGAGCTGGAGGACTTTGCCAGCGATTTAGACAACGACAACGACAACGACAACGGCAGCAGCGACAGCAGCGGCGACGAAGAGCGTTTAAAATTAGCAAAAACAGCTGCTAATGGCCGCTCCGACAATTTGTATATAAATAAAATGGGCGGAGATGGGAGGACGTGGACGTGTTCCTCGGCC